TTAGTCCCGCTTCATCCGGCTCAGTCCCGCTTAATCCGCGGCCTCATCCGGCGCAGCAGCCCCCCCGTGGGGCTCAATTCTCCCGAATCCTTCTTGCGAAGATCTCCCAGCAGGTGCCTTCTATCTAAGGGGGTGATGACCAGGGGGGGTGGATGTCATGGCGGGGGCCATGATGCCTCCCCAGATCTCGTGGCGCCTCTTCTTGTTTCGGTGCGTCCCCGCCCCCCCCCCCTTGGGGCCGCGCTCGTGCCGCCGTTCATGATCTGCGGGCCCCGACGCCCCCGAAGCTGATTCGATCCGATCGATCTGGCCTGATTCGACATCGATCCGATCCGACCTCTGATCGATCCGATCTGGCATCTGGCCAGTCCGATTCGGCATCGGCCCGATCGGATCTGATCGATCCGATCCGGCATCTGATCGATCCGAACGATCCGATTCGATCCCGCTTCCCGATTCTAACCCGTTTCCCGACGTCGAATCGGGTCGACCCGATCCGATCCGATCGATCCGAGTCGGCATCGATCCGATCCGATCCGATCGGATTTGATCCGTCGTGCCCAGCGACGCCCACCATACCAGGCCCGCAGCCCCCTTCCATGGGGCATCCGCAGTGCGTCGCCGTCGTCGTCGCCGCTGCCGCCGCCGCTGCCGTCGTATTAGTCTTAAGTCGGGCCTGTTCCCCTACAAGGGGATTTTCGACGAAAAATAAAACATACCCGAAAAATCGTCCAAAAATAGACTGGGGACTATTTTTTGAGTATTTTTTGGCCTTGTTGGGGTATTTTTGGGGTATTCTTTATTTTTCGTCGAAAATCCCCCTGTAGGGGGACAGGCCCGACTTAATATTAGTTGTCGGCGTCGTCGTCGTCGTCGTGGTGGTCGTGGTCGCCGCCGCCGCCGTCGTCGCCGTCGTCGGCGTCGTCGTCGTCGTCGTTGTCGTCGCCCGCGGTGGCCCGCCGCCCCTTCTCAAGAGCCACGGAGCGCGGCCCGTGCCCGAGCGCCCCCGCGTGCCCGCGCGCCTGACGCGGAGGGGCCGCGGGGGGGGGGGCAGGCAGAGGGACCCCCGAGGAAGGGTGTCCTCCTCCTCCTCCTCCTTCTCCTCTCTCTCGTCCTCCTCCTCCTCCTCCTCTCTCTCGTCCTCCTCCTCCTCCTCCTCCCTCCCGATCCTGGACGGGCCCACTTCGGGGGCCCAGAGTCGCCGAGGAAGCATACGGCAGGTTCGCGTCGTGTCGACGCGGCGGCGACCCCGCCGCCAGCGATCAACGCTGAACGCCGGCGGCGGCCCAGAATCGGTCGATGTTGAATGACCGGACGCTGCGGAATCGGCCGATCGTTCAAGGTCGAACGATCCTCGCGGTGTCAGGAACCAACGCCCGGGTCGACACGGCACGAACCTGTTGTCCGGCAGGCTCGCGCCGCGTCGGCGCGGCGGACGGTCCCGCCGCGGACGTTGCAGGCTCAACGCTGCCGACGGCCCAGAATCGGCCAGCATGGAGCGATCCAGCGATCGAGAGGCCGCCGATGGTTCAGGGTGGAGCGATCTGCGCGGTGTCAGGAACTGGCGCTGGGGTCGTCACGGCACCGGCCCGCCGCACAGAAAGAAAGGGTCGAGGATCGAAAGGGCAAGAGCGGCACCTGTCCGTCACTGCATCGTTTCGGGACCCCCAAGGGACAGGCCCCCCAAGGGTCAGGCCTCGGTGGCGCCGCGCGCCGGGGGCGGGGCGGCCTAGCGCGGAACCAAGAAGTCCGTGCGGACTTCCAAACGTTGATGTTTATCAGAGTGAGGGGGCCGAACGGTCATTCATTGTCCCTGGGTGCGTGGCCGAAAAAGGAATTCGTGGTGAGAATTCTGCTTGTATCGTGGTTGTTGTTGTAGTTGTAGTAGTAGTAGTAGTTGTTGTTGTTGTTGTTGTTGTTGTTGTTGTTGTTGTTGTTGCTGTTGTTGTTGTTGTTGTTGTTGTTATTGTTGCTGCTGCTATTGCTGCTGCTGCTGTTGCTGCTGCTGCTGTTGTTGTTGCTGCTGCTACTGCTGTTATTGTTGCTGCTGTTGCTGTTGATGTTGTTGTTGGTGTTGGTGTTGGTGTTGGTGTTGTTGTAGTGGTTGTCTTTGTTGTAGTGGTTGTCGTTGTCGTTGTCGTCGTCATCGTCGTTGTTGTTGTTGCTGCTGTTGTTGTTGATGTTGTTGTTGTGGTTGTTGTTATTGTTATTGTTATTGCTTATTGCGGTTGTTGCTATTGTTGTTGTTATTATTGTTGTTGTTGTTGTTGTTGTTGTGGTTGTTGCTATCGTTGTTTGTTGTTGTTGTTGTTGTTGTTGTTGTCGTTGTTGTTGTTGTTGTTGTTGTTGTTGTTGTCGTCGTCGTCGTCGTCGTCGTTGTTGTTGTTGTTGTTGTTGTTGTTGTTGTTGTTGTTGTTGTTGTTGTTGTTGTTGTTGTTGTTGTTGTTGTTGTTGTTGTTGTTGTTCGCGAGGACACTACTGGAGGCCCGTTGCTCGACCCCCCCCCCGAGCAACACCACGGGGCCACGCACGGGCCCTGCAGGGCCCCTGGTCCGAGCAACGCCACGAGGCCTCGCCAGACCGCTGCGGGGGTCTGCAGGGCCCGGCGGCGTTGCTCGGCAGGTCCTTTCGGGACTGTTGCGGAGCCCCATACAGGCCCCAAAGGGCGCACCCCTCTCACGGATCGTGGCCCTGGCCCCACAGGGAGCTCCACCGAGTTTTGATTTCGGCACACCCCTCTCGAGGATCGTGGCTCAGGGAGCTCCACCGAAGCTTGGTTTCGGCGCACCCCTCTCACGGATTGTGGCCCTGGCCCCACAGGGAGCTCCACCGAGGCTCCATTTCGGCACACCCCTCTCGAGGATCTTGGCCCTGGCCCCACAGGGAGCTCCACCGAAGTTTGATTTCGGCGCACCCCTCTCACGGATCGTGGCCCTGGCCCCACAGGCAGCTCCACCGAGGCTCCATTTCGGCACACCCCTCTCGAGGATCGTGGCCCTGGCCCCACAGGGAGCTCCACCGAAGCTCGACTTCGGCACATTCCTCTCGAGGATCGTGGCCCTGGCCCCACAGGGAGCTCCACCGAAGCTTGGTTTCGGCGCACCCCTCTCACGGATCGTGGCCCTGGCCCCACAGGGAGCTCCACCGAGGCTTCATTTCGGCACACCCCTCTCGAGGATCGTGGCCCTGGCTCAACAGGGAGCTCCACCGAGGCTTCATTTTGGCACACCTCTCTCGAGGATCGTAGCTGTGGCCCTACAAGGGGCTCCACAGAGGCTGCACTTCGGCACACCCCTCTCGAGGATCGTGGCCTTGGTCCCACAGGGAGCTCCACCGAAACTTGATTTCGGCGCACCCCTCTCACGGATCGTGGCCCTGGCCCCACAGGGAACCCCACCGAGGCTTCATTTCGGCACACCTCTCTCGAGGATCGTAGCCCTGGTCCCACAGGGAGCTCCACCGAGGCTTGATTTCGGCACACCCCTCTCACGGATCGTGGCTCAGTGAGCTCCACCGAAACTTGATTTCGGCGCACCCCTCTCACGGATCGTGGCCCTGGCCCCACAGGGAGCTCCACCGAGGCTCGATTTCGGCACACATTTCTCGAGGATCGTAGCTGTGGCCCCACAGGGAGCTCCACCGAAGCTTGGTTTCGGCGCACCCCTCTTACGGAGCGTGGCCCTGGCCCCACAGGGAGCTCCACCGAGGTTTCACTTCGGCACACCCCTCTCGAGGATCGTAGCTCTGGCCCCACAGGGAGCTCCACCGAATGTGGATTTCGGCGCAAGCCCTCTCGAGGATCGTGGCCCTGGCCCCGCAGGGGCCTCCACCGAGGCTTCACTTCGGCACACACCTCTCGAGGATCGTGGCCCTGGCCCCACAGGCAGCTCCACCGAGGCTCCATTTCGGCACACCCCTCTCGA